AATCACAAAGCTCGATCAGTCCTCTCTTCCATTTCCTTTAGAAAAGTAAAAAGCGACACTATGCAGTGGTCTCTGTCTGATAAAGATAAAAACAGGTTTAAGATGTAAGCTACGGAGTGGCTTTTGGAAAACTACATTGCTTAGAAAAATAGAGAGGTGTGTCCAAGATTGCAGGTGGTGATATTGGCTTTGAAATACGGTCATAGTTTCCACAGTTAGTAATCCTATTACCTATTCTTAAATGATCTGATAATTACTTATAAAGTCAGAAAAAAGAAGACTCATCAAGAATTTGGATTTGGGTTTTCATCCTTCAGAGTCTAAGAAAGAAACAACTTCTGTGAGAAAATATGCCAGGTCTCAGTGACGGGTTCCAGGCAGATACAAAGGCAGCCCCTCTCTCTGGGACTGAGCAGAGTAAGACGAAATAGAGGGCAAGTGTGGTGCTTTTGAACATATTTTGGGACTTTAATTTTCTGCATTAATCTACATAAGGAATTGATTTGAAAAGCAGCACTGGGGAACATGGCCACGTTTGATCTTAAAAGGGGCCAAATTTGGGGCCGATTTACACTCCTGGCTATCTACTGCTTTAAAAAGTTGGCAGTAGCTCAAGTCGAGAAATAAAATGTGGACCTTGAGGCAAATTTAATTGAAGGAAAGGACTGATGCATTTCAGAGGATTCTAAAGGCAACATCAAAAGATATTTTTAAAAGGCACGGAGAGGTTGGATTGCCCAGGTGGTCAAACAGGTGTAGTTGCAAAAGCAAGGAGGAGCTTCTGCACAAGTGGAGGCCGCCTGTCCATCCTCTCATGTGCTCTCAGTATGTCCACACTTGTGACAGACGAACCTTTTTGCATGTCTAGCAGTCACAAAGCAGAATACAGCCTTAGCCACTTATATGCCTTTGTTCCTTGGGTCCGTTAAGAAACCTGCTTACTGAGGACCAAGAAATCATGGCATTCTTCTTCATTCTTCCATGGATGAATATTGGCTTCATTAATATCAAGTTGATAGCCCAAGCTATGGTTCTTTCCTTTTCTTGTATATTGAATAGCTTCACAAGTCAACACTAAATCATAATGCGATCTTTGAAGACATTTTAAACAGCAACCAAAACTCAATCCACACTTTTTCAACACAACAAACAACTGGATATAAGAAGGCATGGTCAAGTTTATGTGTGCAATGTTTACCGACAACAGTAATGAGTTATGACCACTGCTTGCCTGATAGAGACTAGAAAATGATTCTGATTATAATATTCATACCAGTCGGAGATGTTAAAATTTTAAAAAATAAATGTGTATTGGACTATGAAATATAGTATGTGTGGATTTAGGAGAAAGAGTTCATGTTAATGATGGTGCGTTTTCTGCAGGAATCTATTTAAGTCTTCTGCACGAATCCCTTAAGATTACAGAGGAACACACTGCCACATGTTACCTCCTTGGAGACTTGATTATCAAGAAATAGTTGCACTGATTCCAAAACATCTGTCAATGCAAACTATCAATGGGCAAAGTTTATTTCTTTTCTAATCTTGTTATAAAAATACTGAAAAAAATAAGAAAAGCTGCTCATTATAATAATTTGGTAATATGACATAATTTTTCCAAATTAAGTGATTAAACATAAAGCACTAGAGTTAGATAAATCATACTTAGTATGTTTGAACAGCACTCATATTTTCTATATTCAAAATCTTACACTTCTTTCAATCCCTTGTATTACTCAAATAAGTCAGCAACTTGAAAGTGGAGACTAACTGAAATAAAATCTATCCAAAAAAGGTCACGTCTTAAAGTCAGGATAAGGTCATTTCCTCTAGAATTTCCATAGTTATTTAATGCCCTTTGTAGGAGAGGCCTGTGTCATCAATACACTAATTACCAGTTCAAACAGACAGCAGGCATCAAGCAGAGAGATGGCCCTGAGAGAAGTCATGAAAAGTAGGTCTTTCTCCAATGTGCCCCCTGAGGGATAAATCACTTTTTATTATAAAAGATTAAACCTTAAATCCATAAATACGATTGTGCTCTGCCCAACAGTTTATAGTATACACCATACCACACACTTTACAGCTCTCAAATGTATATCAAGTATAGCTCAAGTCTAGTGACTGTAATCTTAACCTCACCGATATTTTTGTGAGAAGTAGGCAATAATCACTCAGCAGGAGAGAATCACCACTTTTGAAACAAAACACAGTTTTCAAAAAGTTGGTTTTAATCTATTATAGTATAAAAGCAAACAAAAACAAATATAGGTCAACATGATAGATGATTCTGTTCTGTTTCTCAGTACCTTTTTCTGCACAAGGGTTCTTAACAGTTCTCTCACTGTAAGAACTGGATGTATGAAATGCACGTCCCTTTAAAAATAATTTAAAGTGGTTTAGCATTTATTCATCAATTAAAAATGGTAAATTTTTAAGGCAGGAATTGTTAGATAATACTCCATAAAACTACTAATCATTAGAAGCTCTCATTCTTCACATTCTTCCATATTTCACAGGAACAAGTAACACAAAAATGTGAGCAGGAGGGGCGCCTGGGTGGCTTAGTCAGTTAAACCGACTTTCGCTTAGGTCATGATCTCGCAGTTCGTGGGTTCGAGTCCCGCGTCGGGCTCTGTGCTGACAGCCAGCTCAGAGCCTGGAGCCTGTTTCAGTCTGTGACTCTCTCTCTCTCTGACCTTCCCCTGCTCACACTGTCTCTCTCTCTCTCTCCTAAACATAAATAAAAACATTAAAAAAAAATAATGTGAGCAGGAGCGCCTGGGTGGCTCAGTGGGCTTAGCATCTCACCGGCTCAGGTCATGATCTTAAGGTTTGTGAGTAAGAGCCCCACATTGGCTCTCTGCTGTCAGCCCAGAGCCTGCTTCGGATCCTTTGTCCCCCTCTCTCTCTGCCCTGCCCCTACTCGTGCGCTCTCTCTCTCAAAAATAAATAAACAAAACGACAACAAAAAATGTGAGCATTATCAGTCAAGTTAAAAATGCAATGGCTCACAAAAAGTGAAGAATCTAAAATAACAGCAATCTCTCTAGGTATCTCCATCTGCAACAAAGATATATCTTTGAGTAATTCATGATTTCCCAGTTATCTCATCTGCAAGATAAAAGGTACCTGTATATTCTGTGATTTCGAAGATTAGTTCCAGCCTAAACATTTTGTTTAAAATGAATTCTAAAACTTCTAGAAGAAACATTAATTTGCTGATGAGATGTGATTTGTTTCAATACAGATAAGCAGTTTTATTATTTGATTATCTTCTTATAAATTATAAAATTATGATACACAAAAATTAGACTATACAGTAGTCTTGTTTCTGTATTTACCATTATGCATCAAAACAGACTTAATGCAATATTCAGTATAAAATCACTCATACTGGGGTTCTTGTCTGGCTCAGTTTGTTAAGGATCTGACTCTTGATTTTGGCTCAGGTCATGATCTTACAGTTCATGGGATGGAGCCCTCTGTCAGGCTCAGTACTGACAGCATGAAGCCTGCATGGGATTCTCTTTCTCCCCTCTGTCTTTGCCCCTCCCCGACTTGCTAATGCACGCACGCACGCACACGCTTTGTCACACAAAATAAATAAGTAAAAACTTTTTTAAAAAACCGCTCATACTGCCACTTGAAGAACCACTAGGATTTGAAATGCCTTTCACACCTTGCCAACCTTATTTCGTCAGAGATATACAGCTACATTTTATTGAGGAGATACGGAGTCTGTCATTGGTTTTCCCATATCCAGAGAACAGACAAGGGTTATTCTGAGAAACAGTATCAAGTTATATAATATTTAAAAATATAATTTAAAGGGCTAATCTTGTACTTCGTAATAGGTTAATTAATCAAATTCTTTTAAAAAAGACACATTCTTAATACCCACATTTCTACCAATTTCATTACTAAATAAACATTTTCATGTACACTTTGCAACCCAATTTAATATTCATAAAAATGTGATTATGAAGTAAATCTAATAAAATTTAACTGTAAAATATTTATCTATTGACTGCAACTTTCTTACAACAGAGTATGTCTAGCTAAAGCAAAAACAAAACACAAAAGCCAAAAACTGTTATGCCCAAAAACCTCATCTGTAAGTTAAATTTTATGGTTTGGTGTGCTGTAACAGTTTACTCATAATTATAAACACAATATTCTACTTAATTATATTTATTAAATTTATCATATTAGAAGACAATTGGTAAATGAGAGCATTTATTTCTGTAATCTTCACTATTAGGATAATTACACAGTCATTGTTTCTGATTCACTCTTCAGAATATAAATTACCACCTAATCTGAGTTTCCATTGTTAGCATACTTAATTTATTTTAAAAAAAAGAAAGAAACTCCTTTTACCCATTGGAATTTATTAATATAAGTGATGAAACCATGCCAATGAATGCTATATCTTATAATCATGATTCTGGTGATACAAATCTCATATGATACAAAAATGTCTAGTGAAAAATTACTTTCAAGAGATCTGTATCAGAATTATTTTTATAAAAGAACCCTCACTACAGAAGACTACAGGTTATAATCTAAGGGTCAAATAAAGGCTAGATTGCTTTCCTGGATATAATTACCTGTGGATTGGCTAATGCTGTATATTTAGTATCATTAATTCTACTCTTTTTTACAATAGGAATACACGCTGTAACATGAACCAAAACATAATATTTGGACAAATTATTGAACCATTTACATGTTAAATTCATAATTGAAACATCTATTATTTTTTACATATTCACAAAATAAAAGTGTTAACAGCCTTCAGTTGAAAACTGATCTCATCACTGTACTTTCAAAGACTTCTCTATCTTTCTGTCAGTGTAAAACATTTGTGTATACTAATACAATGAAGTTTTAAATATTTATTTCATGAAAAGCAATGAATAAAACATCTTATTTTAGTAGTCTTATTTTAATCATTTTTCCTTAATTCTATGAGAACAAAGCATATATGGTAGTACCTTTGGATATTGCTTGACAGGAATCAATACCCTTTCTGAGAGCTTTATGTTTTTGTTGCTGATGACATCAAGATATTTCTTTTCTTCATCTTCCTTTTTTCCATCAGAACCTTGAAATTTTTCAATTTCTGAAAAAAAAATTCACGAGAAAAAAACAGTAAGTGAAATGAGAAGTCATAAATATGATGATTGGTTTTTTTAAATGTTTTTAATGTTTTATTTGTTTTTGAGAGAGAGACAGATACAGCATTAGCAGGGGAGGATCAGAGAGAAGGAGACACAGAATCTGAAGACAGGCTCCAAGCTCTGAGCTAGCTGTCAGCACAGAGCCCAACACAGGCTCAAAACCACGAACCTCGAAATCATGACCTGAGCCGAAGTCAGACGCCCAACCGATTGATCCACTCAGGCGCCCCTATGCTGATTGTTCTCATTGCTTGCCTTCATAAAAAAGATTTTGAAGAATCTTGATAGGACTAAACACCATCTTGTTAACAGCTCCATGAATGCTAAATATCTTATATATTAAGATGACCTCTGTCAACTAAAACTAAAAAGTTATCATTGAAGATGTGACTGTCTGCCATGAGACAAAAGATGAACTTAATTTTTAACATCTACAAACAAAACACAAGGAAGAATATGCCCTTTAATTATTTAAAATACCTAAGCAAACACAACTCTCCTAGGGACATTAAACAGAACAAAATATATTTTAAGGCTTTATGTTTTATTTTTACTCAGAATTATTCCTACAAAAAATAATTGAAAATAGTAATCATCCATTCTCTAAAATAAGACAGTAAAGATAAATAGCATATTATTTTATATTCTGACAAAACTTGAAGGCAATTAAAAAAGAGGGTCACAGCAAAGTCTTCTAAAGGATTAAGTCTGTAAATGCTGTCACTCATAGTCATCAACATGAAATTATCTGTCCATAATAATATCTGTTTAAGAGGAATTACTAATTTTGCTTTATGAGAAAATTCCCCAAATGGATATTTTCAAGCAAATGTACACTACCTATTCTTTCTTTTTAAAATTAACTTATTCCACAAAGATTCTTGAACCTCTATTGTGGATACCACAGATAAAACAGAACACAGAAAATAAGAAAACATCTCTACCTTTACGGAATCTATATTCTGATGGGAAAAATGAGCAATTAGAAAGCGAATATGTGCATGCATATGTATATGTGGAGGCTAGAGAATAAATATAACAAAGCTATTAAGACAGCTTTTTTAAGTTTTGTTAGAGAGAGAAGGAGAAAATTTTGTTTTTGTAATTGGAGTAAAGGAAAGGTGGTGATATCTATTAAGTATGGAAATTCTCTATTCATATTAGTTTATATTTTATTTTGAAACATTTTTTAAAGATCTGACTACTTCTGGAGGTGAAAGAAATACTGTATTACATGAAACAGCTTTGTTCTTTGTTGTTATTTGTAATCAGTATCTTTCCCAAAATTATTTCATATACATTATATAAAAACCCTGTAGCATTCCCAAAGGTAATCTTTTAGCATATCATTTATTTGGCTCATGTGGAATGATTGAAAAATATTTTTGAAGATTACATTGCTTACCCAGATAATATCCGAATGAATGCTACACGGCATGGTTCGCACAGAGTCATTTGTGCAATCACACTTTTCAGGTATATACTATAATTTCCCTGAAGACATTTATCTTAAAATAAACTGTGCTGAGGGAATCAAGAGCAAAAATAAACTATTGGGACCTCAACAAGATTAAAAGCTTCTGCACAGCAAAGGAAACAATCGATAAAACTAATAGGCAATCGACAGAATGGGAAAAGATAGCTGCAAATGACATATCAGATGAATGGTTAATATCCAAAATCTGTAAGGAACTCACCAAACTCCACACCCAAAAAACAAACAACCCAGTGAAGAAATGGGCAGAAGATATGAACAGACACTTCTCTGAAGAGGACATCCAAATGGCCAACAGACACATGAAACGATGCTCAGCATCCCTCCTCATCAGGGAAATACAAATCAAAACCACACTGAGATACCACCTCACGTCAGTCAGAGTGGCTAAATGAGCAAATCAGAGAACTCTAGATGTAGGTAGGCACGCTCCTACACTGTTGGTGGGAATGTAAACTGGTGCAGCCCCTCTGGAAAACAGTGTGGAGGATCCTCAAAAAATTAACAGTAGAACTCCCCTATGACCCAGCAATAGCACTGCTAGGAATTTACCTAAGGGATATAGGAGTGCTGATGCATAGGAGCACATGGACCCCAATGTTCATAGCAGCACTCTCAACAATAGCCAAAACATGGAAAGAGCCTAAGCGTCCATCAATGGACGAATGGATCAGGAAGATGTGGTTTATCTATACGATGGAATACTACATGGCAATTAGAAAGAATGAAATCTGGCCATGTGAGCAACATGGATGGACCTTGAGGGTGTTATGCTCAGCGAAGTAAGTCAGGCAGAGAAGGACAAAAACCAGATGTTTGCACGTATGGGAGAATTAGGAGGAACTTAATGGAGGACTGTGGGGGAGAAGAAGGGGGGAAATAGTGGGGGAGGGGGAGAGAGGCAAACCATGAGAGACTCTTGAATGCTGAGAACAAACTGAGGACTGATGGGTGTGGGGGAGAGGGGGGAGATAGGCATGGAGGAGGGCACGTGTGGGGATGAGCACTGGGTGTTATATGGAAATCAACTTGACAATAAACTATTTGTTAAAAAAAATAAAATAAACTGTGCTGTTTGAAAAGAAGTTATATGCAATATGCCTATAATTTCTATGTAAAACAATGGCATCAGATTCTTACTATTCCACTCCAGATTATTAGCAAGTCATTTTACTGTCTTTTTCAACCAAGAAGCATTCTCTATTCAGGCTTTCAATCCCTTATATAATTATTACATACAGAACTCTGACAACTGCAAAGAAATAATATTCATTATATCTTCTGATCCTGACAATGAACTTCTGATCACTGCCCTTTGGTTACATGCACCTACCTAATACCATACCTAGTTTGAGGCAATTGTAATGTGGGACACATAGACTCAATTCCCAATCTATTAGATGTACGATCTCTCCCTTGTCAGTCTGTCGTAAAATAAATTGAATTTGTCTGACATTATTTGCTCTCTACACAACTACTACTACCTTAGGCATTTTTAAATGTTTGCAATTTGATCAATGATTAATTCCAATAAATTTTCCATCAAGAAATGGAGTTGAATAAAATACCATTTCCACTGCTTTTTCTGCTCATTCTACACTTTCCTTATAAAAATGTTGAAATATCTTTTGTCCTTATGATACTTTCAGGGAGTTATCTTGTCTTTCCTGACATAGCTACATGACTAACAGCTCAGTAACTGTATCTGTCAACTGCATAGTCACAGAATGGTATAAGCCAAATATGCCTGATTTTAAAATCAGGAAAAGCAATGTATACTACACCTTTCCTTTTTAAATTTTACTTTAAAATAATGTTTTATTTTATAATTAATGTATGTTCATTGTGTAACATTCAGACAATATAGGTATCCACAAAAATGTAATGGCCTCCATTTTCATCTAACAATAACTGAACAGTTTTGCGTAGAGGAGTTGAGTGATTTTTATATTTGTTTATATGGCCTCTCTTTAAATTTGCCTTCCATATTATTGGGAAAACATATTTAATATATTAGGGTAGGCTTATTTTTTGTTGAAAAAATGTTAAACCACATAGATTTTAGTATCTACAGTTCTCCTTTCACCATTTATCTACTAATGCCAATATTCATTCAAGAATTGACTTTAGCAGTCATTGACTTATTTTTAGTGGCTCTCCTCATAGTTCTAAACTTATGAGAAGATTACAACAGAGTTAACCTGTGGGCATCGGTGTATTCATCTTGCACTGAACTGGTTTTAGTCATATAGAAGCTATAGTAAGAAAGTGTAATTTTTGTAATAAAAAATACATATCCATAATTCCCATTTTAAGTGTACAGTTCAACAGTGAGTAAGTCTATTCTGTTGTTGTGCTATACATCTCTAGAACTTTTTCATCTTGCAAAACTAAAATTCTAAAACCATGAAACACTTTTTTTCCATCTTCTTCTCACAGGCCTTGGCAACCATCTTTTCACTGTCTGTTTCTATGCTTGACCACTTTAGGTACTTCATATGAGTAGAATAACACAGTTTTTGCTCTTTTAGGACTGGCTTGTTTCACTTAATATAATGTTCTCAAGGGTTATCCATGTTATAGCATGTGTTAAGACTTCCTCCTCTTTAAAGCCTATATAACATTCCATTGTAGACATATGACAATTTCTTTATCAGTGGACATCTGAGTTACTTCTACCTCTTGGCTATTGTGAATAATACTTCCATAAACATGGATGTGTAAGTGTCTCTGAGATCTTGCTTTGAATTGTTTAGGACATATACCCAGAAGTGGGATTGATGGGATCATATGGTAATTCCATTTTAATTTTTTGAGGAACCTCCATACTGTTTTCCATAATGACTGGACCATTTTATATTCCCAAAAAGAGTGCACAAGAGTTCCAATTTATCTGCATTCTTGCCAATACTTGGTATTTTCTATTCTTTTCATAGTGGTCATCCTAACAGGCATGAGGTGCTATCACATTGTGATTTTTATTTTCTCTTACGTTTAGTGATCTTGACCATCATTTCATATGCTGTTGACCATTTGTTTATCTTCTCTGTAGCATTATCTGTTCAAGTCTTTTGCCCATTTTTAATTGGGTTATGTGTTTTATTGTTGTTGAGTTGTAGAATTTCATTATGTACTCTGCACATTAACCTCTTATCAGATATACAATTGCAAATATTTTCTCACATACCACAGGTTAACTTTTTATTCTGTTGATTGTTTCTTTTGATGCTCAGAAGTTTTTTCAGTTTGATGTAGTTCCCTTTATTTTTCACTTTTGTTGCCTGTGCTTCTGATGTCATATCCAAGAAATCTTTGACATATCCAATGCTTGAGGATTTCCCTCTATGTTTTCTTCTAGAATTCTAGAATTTCTTCTAGAATATAGTTTTAGATCTTACTTTTAGGTCTTTACTCCACTTTGAGTTAGGTTTTATGTATGATATAAGA